GCCAAGCAACTCAACCTACCTCGGCTGTAAAAGAAATCGGCTCCACAATGTAGTTGTGGGGAGCCGCGTGATCACGACGGGCGATCTACAAAGAAGAGAACAATGGTTGAGCGTCGAACGATGAGTCGCTCGCAACATCTATTTGCCTCTTAGCAAAATAATTGTAATACCTGATTGGCAAGCTTAGGGAAGAGTTGCGCGGCGGCCATGCCATTCAGCATGTCGGTTGCAGTGTTGAGATAGACCGACAGGCTGTCGAGCACGGCAAGCTTGTAGAACAAGTCGCCCGACGTGTTTGAAGAGTTGATCTCGAACGTCTGGTCCGTCGAGTGGAGGTCTAGGCGAGCGAGGGTCAAGCCGCCAGCGAAAGGAAGCTACGAGCGAAAGAAAGTTGCGAAAAGCAACACAATATGAGGGGCCTGATGAGAGAAGGGAAAAAAAAAAACAACAACCGAAAACAAGGCAAACCAATCGTTGCGATCCAAACTTACCGCATTGTTGATCTTGTCGCCCTCGAGTCGAACGTGAATGTTGCTGATTTTCACTTGAATGTTGTCGATGATTTTCGTCGCCATCTTGACCGCGAAGGAATCGGACTTTTCCTGGGCGCCAAGTTCCGCCTCCTAGCAAGTCGAATTGTGTGAGAGAATGAGTGAGCGAGAGTGAATCATGAAGTAAAGTGCACACAAACAAACGAGCCTCCAACAGCTGTCGCACCTCGCGTTGAAGCTTGAGCGACTCGTACTCGGCAATTTTGCTGCGCTTGGATCGCTCGGCAATGCGTTCTTGGAGCTTGGCGTCGTAATCGAGATCGAGATTCGGGGTTGCCAAAACCAGCACTTGATCGAGCAGCACAACGACGGGATCGGTCGTAATGTTCTTCCATGGGATTTTCAGTGTCAGCGTGCCGATGGTACCTGTTTCCGATGGTTGGTTGGTTGGTTGGTGGTTTGGTGAGCAACGGAACCAAAACCCCTCAATCCAACCACACTTGCAGCGATGTTTGCACAACGTTCTCATGGCAATGCGAGTATTTCCCCCCGATGACGCAGAGACAAGCCGAGCAGAAGTTCGTTTGGTGGCAGCTTTTCGAAAAGTTCTCCCCATTTTCCCCACACACACATAGACATCGCGCCCCCGTCAGATGAAACGCGAAAATGCCAAAAGCCGATCGCAAGTTTGCTTTTTTTGTGAAATTGCGGCGCAATGCCAATCCTAGAGTTCCGTTGTAGTGATGGACTTGCCTGCTTTGACTGAAATCGGAAGGTCGAGCTCGCTGAATGCAGTTTCGCGCACTTGAAGGTTTTCGAGCACCAGGTTGCCTTGTATCATGCCACAAAATCAAACAAACAAAAAAGTTGGCGGATTTAGGATTAGTCAAGGAGCGAGGCAAAAAAACAAAACAAAAACCAGAAACAAAACTGCGATCAAATCTGAGATTTGGAGAGTTTTGCGCAGATTCGATGCAATTGTCTTAGATTTGCACGATGATCGACAAATTCAATGGAATACTGTATGGCAACGCAGATCCATCTGAATGACTGGGACGTTGGAGTGGGTGTCGAAATGCGTTCAGCGATTTGTTCTTTCCCCTGCCACCCTCCCGCCGCCGCCGCCGCCGACAAAGACACCAAGCGGCACACACAAGAAGCCAGTCACTTATCAGGATGAGTCTATGCGCATGATGAGGAGCGATGGGGTGGGGAGGGCGCGCAGTTTTGTGCGTTTAAAATGTGATTACCACTCCAGAGCGAGAGGTTGAGCTGCTTGGTGTCCAGCCCCTGCACGAACTGGCCGAGGTACTTGTTGAGCAAGCCAGCGACGAGGTTTTCGAGCATGTTGGTAGGGATGGAGGACGGGGCGAGGCGAGTGGGCGAGGGGGTTGGAACGCGCAGCACAATGAGTGAGAGTGAATCGCAGTTAGAGAAGGTAGGACAAAGAAGAAACAAAGAAAGAAGAAGAAATAGCGACTGAGACTGAGACTGAGACTGAGGGGTGTGTGACAAAGTATGGCAGAACGCTGCATTGGCACTCGACAAGTACAGCAGGGACAAAAGTGGATCAATCGGGTCAACGTGGGAAACGAGCGTGACGGAAAGTCGATCTAGAAAACCAAACCAAAACACTCATTCACTCTTCAGTCGCACACAATGAGCAGACCAGACCAGAAAAAAAGATGAAATGTAGATCGAAGTGCAATGAAAGTGACATGGTAAGAGGCGAACATTGACGAGGGAAGGACCAAAAAAAAAAAAAAAAAAAAAAGTGCAAAACCAAAAAAAAAAATGTGGTTGCTGGGATTCGAACCCAGGCCACCGAAGTGATCAGAGCCTTAATCTGACGCGTTAGACCAGCTCCGCCACAACCACATGTTGATGTTTTAGTGGGTGGGCAAAAAGCGTCATAATTCGAATGCAACAGCCAGCGAAAACCAATACCATCGAAACCATTCCGTTTGACGCGTCCCATTCCATCCAGTAGGCGAAACTGCATTCAGCATTACTCTCTTCACTTTTTTCGCTCAATCTACAATGCTGCCAAATCCCGAAAACCAAGCCCAAATGCACCCACCTCAGTCACACTTTTTTTTTTTTTTTTGTGTTTCTTCTTTTTGTTTGTTTCTTCAATGATTTCACGCAGCCGTGCCAGCGGCGTGTGCCACTCTTCTGTCCTTGCACTAGTGCTGCTTCTCGTTGCATTAGCACGGCAATCTGTCGCAACAGGTAACATCAGCAAAAAAACAACAAAGAGAATCGACGCCGCGCAATGCGAAACACAACATTCGCTTTTCGTGTGTCGGACAGCCTGAGCGAGCGTCCGTCCCAGCGCACGCTTGCAGAGCGAGGCGGCTGTCTTCAAGTCGAGATGTATGATGCGAGTCGGGGGCATTTGTAGAGAGCGACGCACAAGAGAGCACAAGAGAGAGCGAGAGAGAGAAAGAGAGTGATTGAAATGCGCGCGAGAGAGGAAGAACAAAAGGGTGAAGCAAAAAAAATCATCGTGTTGTTTTATTATTATTTATTCGTTGGGCTGTTTTTTTTTTTTCTCATCAGTGCGACATTTTTTCGTGCGCTTTTGCATCACACCTTCATCGACGACCTTCTCTCTCTCTGTCGACCACGCTGGATTGGATTGTACCCACGATTGCCAAGCACACACACACACACACACACACAATCACACACACAATCACACAAAGCGGATTGCGGGTTTTTTTAACTTTGAAATCCCAGCTGCCATTGTTTTGTTTTATTTTACTGTTTATTTTCGGTTTATTCACCTGGAATGTTTTATTTATGGCTGCCAAAATCTGCGGTTTCAGTAATTGTTGGAATCCCACATGTGGGAACTCGATTCGTGTAAACATTATCACAAAAACAAACCACAGATAAACAACAACAACAACAGAATGCACTTTAAACAACAACAAAAACCACATAAAAACAAAACGTTCGCTTGCTGAATAACGCTGCTTAAATGGATCGGTGTCTCATCAACAAAAATTTACATTATGTGGCTTTGAAAACAGACTACTTTGTCAATCCGTCAACGGGCCTGGACACAAACCCCGGGAGCGCTGGACTGCCGTTTGCCTCGCTGCGAAAGGCAATCGACACTTGCGCAACGACCGGCGACCAAATCTTCTTGGCGGACGGCACGTACACGGGCGCAGACAACATTGGTCTGTCGCTGGCGTACAAGACGGTCAACCTCGTTGGCGCGAGCAAGGCTGGCACCGTCATTGACTGCGGGACCACTCCTGGACCCCTGCTTGTCGTGGCGCTCGGCGCGAGCAGCATCTCCAACATGACCATTGCCAACTGCGCGTCGTCGGGCGCTGCTGGCGCGATTACCGTCTCTGGCAGCTCGACCAGCGTGGCCTTCTCCAACATGGTGTTCCGCAAGTGCCGATCGTCGCTGGTTGGCGGCGCGCTGCAGATTGCCCTGGCCAACGCCTCGTTCACGGACGTGCTGTTTGACTCGACCTCGGCGCTGAACGGCGGCGTCCTGTACGTGACGAGCTCGCTCTCTGTCAGCCTGAACAATGTGACCGTCTACAATGCGACGGGCCAGAACGGCGCGGCCATCATGGCGTACGCCAGCACCATTGTCATTCGCAACACGATCGTCCGCCAGTGCGTCGCGTCGATTGTCGGCGTCATGTACATGTCGCTCTCCACCGTGAGCGTGTACAGCTCAAAGTTCTTTGGCAACTCGGCGGTTGGCGACGGCACCTGCTTTTACAACAACCAAGTGCAGTTTGTCATGGACGACTGTCTCATCAAGGGCAACTACAACAGCCAGTCTGGCGCCGGCTTTTCCATTCTCTCCTCTGCCATGCTCAACGGCGTGCCGGATCAAGTGACCAACACCATCTTTTCCGGCACTCGAACGGCGACCACGGTGCCGTCTACGTCAAGAGCAACGGCACCGTCGTCCTCACCAACTGCAAGTTTTTTGACAATGTTGCCATCAGTGGCGCTGGTGTCTCGGTGTCCTTCAACGGCACCGTCACGCTCGACAACTGCGAGCTCCGAGGCAACGTTGCCACCTATGCCGGCACGGCCCCGTCCGTGACTGGAGTCACGTCGGACGGCGGAGGCGCGCTGAATGCGGCCAAGGCTGGTGCGCTGTTGACGGTGCACAACTGCGTCATTGTGAACAACACTGCCCAGCTCGGCGGTGCCCTCCTTGCCATTAACTTTGCCGTGGTCACCATCACGGGCGCCAACACGCTGATTGCCAACAACACGGCAACCTTTATGGGCGGCGGCATTTACGTCGAAGACGTTCAAACCTCCGTCACCATGGACAATTCGTACAACATTACCATGGAGGGCAACACGGCCCTGTACGGCGGCGCTTTTGCCTCGGCCGTCGATGGAGCGCTTCTGATGAACAATGTCATCATGCGCAACAACCACGCGCACCAGGGCAGCGCGGGCTATGTGGTTGGCACGCTGATTTTGACGCGAGGCTACTTTTCCAACAACCAAGCAACGATGATGAATGGCGGCGTGGTTTATTACTATTCTGCGAATCATGCGCAAAACTGCTCGACCTGCGTGGTCTTGCCCGACAACGTCGACGACACGAGCGGCACCCCGACGCCTTCGGCCATCACCAGCGCGCCGAGCCAGCTGTCCGTGTCGTCCAGCAACTTGGACTTTGCCGCTGGCGGCGCCGGCACTCCTTCCAACCCGCTCGTTTCGGCCGACCTGGTGAGCGGCACAACCATCGAGCTCGACTTGACTGTGCGCGACGCGTTGGGCAACCTCATCCAGTCGGTCAGCACCAACTACAAGGTCGTCGCGACCCTGAGCCCCATCTTGAACGGCGCGCTGGTTGGCTACTCTGCCGTGACCTTGAACGCTGGCGCGGCGTCCGTGTCCATCACCTTTGTGGGCTACCTGAACTCGCCGTTTACCCTTGCCATCCAGGTCGTGGACTTGTCTGGCGCGCTGCTGGCTTCTGTGGCGCCCTTGACCATTGCCTTTTCGACGAGCTCCAACTGCGGCGAGGACAAGACGCAGCAACTGACCACCGTGTCCAATGGTCTCACCTACCCCATTTGCGTTCCCGCCGAGTTGTCCACCGTGTCCACCTCTGCGTTCATTGCCGTTCAGGTCGTCACGAGCCTGTGCGCCGTTGGCACCATTGTCATTTTCGTCATTTTGCGCCGCCATCTCTCGCACAGCTCCATCCGCGCGTCCAGTCCGGTGCTGTTGCAGTTTATGCTGGCCTCGACCGTCCTGGTCTACGCGGCCATCTTTTTGATGGGCGTGGACTCTGGATCAGACGACAACTCCCTTGTCAGCCTCTCGACCGTTGCTTCAAACATTTGCCGCGCCATCCCGTGGCTCCTGGGTCTTGGCTTTGACCTGGTGTACGGTGCCATGCTGGCCAAGGCGTGGCGCATCCACAAAATCTTCAACAACCGCCTGCGCCGTCGCATCATGCTCACGGATGGCAATCTGATCAAGCATATTGTGATTTTCGCCATGCACGACATTATTCTCAATGCCGTCTGGGTTGGTGTGGATCCGCTTGGCCTCGAGTACCACGTCCTTTCGTCCTCGTCCTCTGGCACGACCGTCACCAGCCAGTGCCGCTCGGACAACTTTGGCATTTACTTGGCCATCTACCTGGCCTTCAAAGGCGCCGTCTTGCTTGCCGGCATCTACCTCGCCATCGCGTGTCGCAACGTTGCGGATCAGTTCAACGAATCCAAGCAGCTGGGCTTTGCCATCTACAACTTGACCTTTATCTCGTGCATCATCATCCCCTTGGTGCTGGCCATCCAGGCCTCCGCGACGGTCGTCTATCTCATTGCCGCGTTCGGCACGCTGCTGGCGTTGGTCATGACGATCGCCATCATTTTTGTGCCAAAGATTGTGCTCGTCTACTCTGGCGCCGATACGAGCGTGCAAAACACTTCGAGCAAGTCCAACGCGACCATCCCGCGCGTCAATGTTTCCGATGCCTCTGAGACCCAGTGGGCCGAGATTAACGCTCATCTCTCCAAGCTGAACGCCGCAACCCTCAAGCGCTCGGCGGCCGACTTCAACGATGCCTTTGACAGCCTCGCCATTATTCTCGAGCATCTTTCCACCGCTTATGAGGGATCCGAGAGCCGATCGCACAAGAGCCAAGGAGGCCCCACCAGTGAACACGAAATGAAGAGCAAAGTGAGCAACAAGGCGTCGGCTGAGGCAGTTGTGGTTGCTGTTTAAGTGTTGTTTTTGCATGTTGTACTATTACCCCTTTTGGTTTGGCTTGGGGGTATTTGTTTTTGTTTTGTTGCGATTGTGCTCTTATTTTACTGTGTGAGATTAGGAGCTTGTTTTTGTACCTTGTGAGTCTTTTTGTGGTTGACTTTTCGTGTGTGTGCTCGCTTTTTTGCTCAAAATTGGTGTCATTTCGATCTGTTTGCGATCTGTTGGAGTTTCCTTTTCGCGCTGAGCACAAAGGATTTTTCCTGCTTGCCATGCTGTTACTGTACGGTTGTACATGTGTATAAAAAATACAATGTGCTGATGCGAAAGTGATCTACCGTAGTGCATTGGATTCATGAAACACACATGAATGCTGAACGGACCTTGGGTGAAAGCACGGAAAAAGCTGTATTCACAACGACCGGCCTTGCTCTACAAGGCAACACAAAAAGCATCCAGCAGATTACAAATCGTAAAAGCTCACTGTGTCGTCATACGATAGTCTGTAGACGCCACAGCGCTATGCATAGAAACACTGCCGATTTAGAAGGCGGCGGCAACCAAGGCAGCGACGAGGGTCATGGCAAGAAGGCCGGTGCCGACTTGAGCAGTGACACCAGCGTTGTGATGGCCAGTGACGGTAACGGTCTCAGTCTGGGTCTGAGTCTGAGTCTGGGTCTGGGTCTGGGTCGAGGTCAAGGTTTGAGTCTGGGTCTGGGTCGACGTCTGGGTGACGGTCGCAGTGACGGTAGCGGGGACAACGGGCACCTGGCAGACAGTGGCAAAGTTCAGAGCAAGCTCGGTAGCGTAGGTGGCCTGGAAGTCGGCAACAGGGCAGTAGAAGGTGTTGACGGGGTGGGCGCAGTCGGGGACGGCAACCTCCTTCTCGTTGTGCAGCAGCTTGATGTACTTGTCGCCGCTGGAGCAAGTGTACAGGACCATGGCAATGTTGGCAGAGTACGGCACAATCTTGTCGCCGTGGAACTTGCGGTTGGCGATGGTGGTGGCGTCAGCGTTGGCCGTCAGCGGGGCAGACTCGCGGTACAGGCGGAGCAGCTGGGTGTACGGAATGATGCCCTCGGCGTGGCCGTGACGGACGGACGCGCGGGTCATCGACGGGGTGGCAATGTGGGTGGTGATGTCGCGGACCATGGCTTGCAGCAGGTTGGCAGCTTGCTGGTAGCCGACGGTGGGGTAGGCGTACAGATACCAGTTGTCAAGATCATCCCAGTACTGCATGGTGGTAAAGTCGTCATCGTCAAAGAGCGAGCACCACTGGTTTGCAATGCCGTTGATCGAGTACTCGGACGAGCAGGCAGCGTACATGGCCTGGACGTCAGCCGACGACGGGTTGTAGCCGGCATCCGTGGGAGAGTTGAGCTTGGCCTTGATCTTGGCAATGACAGGGGCCAGCTTTGTGTTGGTGAAGGCAGTGTACTCGAGGATGGCCGAAGCGTTGCCGTCCACAGACGAGCCCCAGAGAGGGCAGTTGTCCTTGAAGGCAATCGTCACGTCGTCCTGGGGATCCTGGGTGGTGACCTGCACGGGCATGTAGCCGCCGTGCATGGGGCCGCTGCCTTCAAAGAGACCGTACGAGAAGGCGGCAGAGCTCTGGATGACGCGCGGGACGTTGGCAGAGGCGAACGCGTAGGCCTCGGGAGTGTACAGCGTGTTGGCGAACGAGTTCCTGAGATGGAAGGGAGAGGAAGAACAAGAGGTGAGCCAAAAAATGCAATGCAAACCATGATGGTGCATGGTCCGAGAAACGTAGAGGCTACATACGGGAAGGAAACCTTGAGACGCTTGGCCATGTCGTACTGCTCGGTCATACCGGCGGTAACGAGATCACCCTGGTACCTGATGTCGTACGGAGGAACCCAGCCCTGGAGCCACGCAAAGCCTAAAGTGTTGCACAGGACGCGGTGAGCAATGGCGAGAGGAATGCCAGTTGAAAACAACGAAATAATGAAAAGATGACAAGATTTCAAAACAGAAAAACGATGTGTTCATAAACATTCGTCCAAGTTTGGGAAGTGCTTCCATGTTTGGGCAGTGCAAAACCGCAGTGCGAGAAATAAAAGAAAACAATAACAATTCAAACGCAATGGAAAAAAAAAACAAAGGACAGGGGAACGAAATTCTCACGCGCGAGACAAAGTGCTCAACAGTTTGTCACCGATGCTCCTCCACACAAGTCGACAGGGCAGCAGATGTATCATCGCGCAAATAGAGTAGTGGTGAAGCAAGGCTACCAGGGTACCCCTCCGCCAAAAAAAGAAAAGAAGATAAAAACAATACAAAACACAAAACAACCCCCGTATGTCTCAACAACACTGCAGCAACTTTGCTCACCGTTGGCGGCAATAGTGGCCTGCTGAGCAGCAGAAATAGAGCCACCGGATGCTTGGGTCAGCTTGGCCTGCTTCTTGTTGTCGTTGGAGGTGGGGTAACGGGCGCCGTGGCGGATGAACATGGATGTGAATTCGTCCGAGCAGCCGGCCGGAGGGGCGGCATAGTTGGATGAAACGTCGGCAGGAACGTAGGGAGTCTTGGTGGACAGTTGGAAGGTGGTGGCGTTGGCAAGCGCGGCACCCATCGCCAGCACGGCGAGGACGAGAGTTGCAGATCGCATTTTGACGGATCAGAATGGGAAAAAGAAGGAAGACAAAAACAAAAGAAAAAAGTGACTAAGTCGGCTTTGCGGAATTTTGGGGCGCCTTTTGAATGGCGGCAAACCCTCAGAACCACAAATGGTATTGTGAAGAAACATCTGGGCGTGTTTTGGGCGGATGGGAACGTTTTCCCACGCTCTTGTTTTTTGTGAGTTCAAAAACATTGCCAAACCGCAGGCCATCACCACTCAAACGAGCTCATTCTCATCGACAGCACGCAGCGTGGGAATGAGGTTGGGTTTTTAACTTGTAGTCAAACCCCCACGCTGGGACAACACCGAGGAGAGGGGGGGTGTGGAAAGAAAGGCGAAGGGGCGACTGCAGGCTGCACGCGCTGCGAATCAAGTGCGAATGTGTCATTCCTGCACTTTGCTATGTGATGATTTGACACGCTCGTTGATTGTGAAAAATAGCCACTCGAGCCACAAGCAGCGATCGGAATTTTTGCGTGTTTCGGTTGTCTTTCCATTGGTTGATCGATTGGTTGATCGACAGTGATCGCGAACAACAAACAAAACCCCCAATTCGGGATCTCGCGAGCCCCTCCCCTTGTTGTTGGGTTTCCTCCGCCTCGGTCTCGACCGTCACAGTCCCAACAGGTGTGGACCATTGGTGCGAATACACTGGTACTTCGATTGGCATGAAATGTATCAACTTTGGGTATTGTTTTCCCATCGCTGTGAAAGACTTACACAAACAAGAAAAAATAGCCAGCGTACGCTTGCTTGGCCTTCATTAACGCGCAACAAGAAAAAAACCGCAGAGCAAACATTTCCACTGGTGCAACTTTGAATCACAAACAAAATACCAAAACAACAACAACAACAACAACAATAACAACAACCACACAAAACATTCAAAAAAAAATGAAAAAGAACTTAAAAAAAAAATCATTCATTCGTTTTTTATTCGACTTTTCATTCCGTTTGATTGTTTTTATTTTTTTATTTTTTTGTTTTTTACACTTTGCCGCGCCTCCCCTTCCTCACAGCAGCCTCCACCTGTTTCGCCCCACGCTGTGATCACACATCTCCCAGCGTAACCCCCCCCCCCGCCTTCCCCTTGATTGTGTGAGCCGCCTTCGTCCCAGTTGCTGCCCATGCTGGTTGTTGTTCTTGCATTTCTGACTCACAGACCTTGCAAAATTCGCTTCTTTGTGATTGTGTTTCACATGGCCCGATCCCGCTTTCGGCCCTCCGTCTCATCGCGCCTGGCTTGGCCTCGTTCCCTCTGTGCGCTGCGCTGCTTCACCTGGCATGTCGCCGTTGACAAAACTCGTCATCCACGCTGCAGCATTCTCCATCGCGGTCCCAGTCAGTCGCATCAAGCTGCTTTGCGGTTCCATATTTTTAGCACGACAAGCGCAATCTCAACCCAACCACCAATCCAATGGCTCAGTGGCGCTGCATTGTGCTCGCGCTCGTCCTTCTGGCTGCCAGTACCGTTGCCACTGGTGAGTAACGATGCAGTGACAGCGTCATCGTCGGAGTTGACGAGAGTGTGTGGGGATTGAGTGTTTGAAACAAACAAACAAACAGCAACAGCAAGCCCAAACTCTTTGACGCTGCTGCTGCTCCTCGACAAAGCAGAGCGCTTTTATGGTGCAGACCAAGCAAGGGCAAAGTGGAGAAGAAGCATCACTGTGAGGCAGTCTCAGCAGCCTGCTTTACAACAGCACAACAATCCCCATTTCGCCTTTTGCTGTAAATTAGTATTCGCTTTTTACACCTCGCCACACCCGAACTACGAGCTCAAAACCCCCACAACAAAACAACAACAAAAAAGCCACAAACTCCTGCTCCTGCCCCCAGTCCTTCACGACCTGTCTGCTTGATCTGTTTGTGTTGTTTGTTTTTGATTGTTTGCTCATCTCTTCTCCACCCTCCCCTCCAACACAGACCGCTTTGTCTCCTCGAATGACGGAGACGACGTGACGGGCACCGGTGACCAAGCCACCCCGTTTGCATCCATTCGCAAGGCGCTGTCGGTCGCGCTGGATGGCGACACCATCCGCTTGGCCGACGGGCTCTACACGGGCATGGACAACATTGGCGTCAACCTCGATGCCAAGGACTTGGACATTGTTGGCGAGAGCAGGGAAAACACCATCCTTTCGTGTGGCAGTCTGTACGGGCCTGCGTTTGACATTTCGTTTGGCTCCCCGTTGCTGTCGGCGATGACCATCCGTGACTGCTACTCCCCGAGCGACTCTGGCGCCGTCACTGTGTCTGGCATCTCTGTATCTGCATCGTTCGCGGACATGCTCATCAAGAACTGCTCGTCTGGTAGTGTCGGCGGCGCCATGCAGATCGAGCTCGCCAATGTGACCTTCACCGACGTCACCATGGACGGCAACGCGGCGATCAACGGTGGCACCTTGTTTATCATCAGCTCGTCGCAAGTCGTGCTGGACGGCGTCACGCTGGCCAACTCACAGGGCGAGAATGGCGGTGCCATTTATATGGCTGCCTCCAACCTGCTGATGCGAAACTCGCACGTCGTGAACTGCTCCAGCCTGGGCGCCGGCGCTCTGTACCTGTCGCTCTCGACTGTCAACATTTACTCGACAGAATTTTTGTACAACTCTGCCCAGTTGGACGGAACCTGTGTATTTACCGTTCAAGTCCAGCTGGTCATGCACGATTGCTCCTTCCGGTACAACCAAAACGTCCAGTCCGGCTCTGCCGTGCTCATCACGGCCTCCAACCTTGTCGGCGGCGTCCAAGACAAGGTGGCCAACTGCGAGTTTATTGGCAACAACGCCGGCGACCACGCTGCCCTCTATGTCAAGAATGGCGGCTCGGTGCTCGTGACAAACTCCACCTTCCGTGCCAACATTGCACTGGCCGGTCCAGCCATTTCAGCTTCGACGTCGGGCATTGCCACAGTCAACAACTGCACCATGCGCGATAACATTGCCACCCCCAACGACCCGCTCGTCACCATCGCGTCGCCCGTCACGCTGAGTGGTGGCGCCATCTGCGTTGCCAAGTCGGGCGCAGTCGTGACGATTGTCGACGTTGTCTTTACCAACAACACGGCCCAGTACGGAGGCGCCATTTTTGTCATTAACGGCGGCGTCGTCACCGTCTCTGGCACCAAGACGGTCATTGCCGGCAACCATGCGTGGTTTATGGGAGGCGGCCTGTTTGTCTCGGACAAAAAGTCCAAGCTCACCGTGTCCAACGCGTACAACATGACCATTGCAGACAACACGGCCACCTATGGCGGAGGTATCGCGGCGGGCGCACTGGCGACGCTGACATTGAAGAATGTCATCTTCCGCAACAACTTTGCCTCAGCCAAGGGCAGCGGTGTGTTTGTGGTGGACACTGTGGCCATGACCAACGCTTACTTTGACAACAATCGCGCCGGCGCGCTCAACGGCGGTGTCGTCAACTACAACGTGCCGGCGTCCGCCCACACCTGCCCAACATGCGTCGTGCTTGCAAACAACCAAGACAATGTCAACACTGGGCCCGCAGTCGCATCCGCCATCTTTAGCTCTCCCAGTCAGCTTGACGTGACTGCTCATTCGTCCAACTTGAACTTTGCGAGTGGCGGAAACGGTTCGGTCGCCAACCCCTACGTCTCGATGGTGGCGCTCGTTCCTGGCGATGCCATCGGTCTGAGCATTGCCATTGTTGACGCGCTTGGCAACGCGCTCCCCGTGGTTGGCAGCTCGTACCGCTTGACTGCAACGTTCGACCCCAGCAACGGCGGCGCCTTGCTCGGCTATGCTCCAGTCCCCTTCACGGCCGGCGGCGCTTCCAGCTCGTTGGCTTTTGTTGGCAAGTTTGCAACGTCTTTCCTGCTGACCATCCAAGTGACGGACGCCTCTGCCAGCCTCATTCCTACAATTGCGCCGCTCGTCTTCCAGTTCAACACGACTGCCGATTGTGGCCAGGGGGCCGTCGAGCACGTTGCCACCATCAATCCTCTCGTGCACTATCCCATTTGTGTTGATGCGGAGCTGTCAACGGTGGATGACGGCGCCTTCATTGCCGTTCAAATTGTCACGGCCATGCTTGCGGCTGCGACACTCGGCTGTCTGGCTTTCATTCGTCGCAATCGATCACATTGGACACTCAGGTCTTCCAGCCCGCTGCTGCTCCAGTTCATGCTCGGCGCCTCCACATTGGTGTTTGCTGGCGTGTTTATTATGGGCGTTGACAGCGGCTCTGATAGCAACTCGCTTGCTTCGCTGTCGCCCACGGCCGCGCGGGTGTGCCGCACCATCCCGTGGCTGCTCGGCCTCGGGTTTGATCTCATCTACGGTGCCATGCTCGCCAAGGCCTGGCGCATCCACAAGATTTTCAACGATCGCACCCGGCGTCGTCTCCTACTCTCCGACGCCCAAATGCTCAAGTGCATTGTGATTTTTGCCTTCCACGATATCATTTTGAACGCTGTCTGGGTCGGTGTCAATCCGCTGGATCTCGAGTACAAGGACTTTGAGACCAAGCAATCCTTGGTGACATTCACGACCGACTGCACCTCGGAGCACTTTGGCATCTTTACTGCCGTCTACCTTGGCATCAAAGGCGCAGCATTGCTCTACGGCGTGTACTTGGCTGTCATGTGCCGCCATGTTGCCAACCAGTTCAACGAGTCCAAGCAGCTCGGCTTTGCCATCTACAACTTGACGTTTGTGTCGTGCATCATCATTCCGCTGGTTCTCGCCTTGGATGCGACCGCAACAGCCATCTATCTGATTGCCGCCCTTGGCACTCTCTTTGCGCTTGTTGTCACGCTCGCCATTATTTTCGTGCCAAAGGTCATGCGCATTGTGGCAAACAAAGAAGAGACCAAGCCCACTTCGAGCAAGCTCACCCAGGCTCTTCGCGTCAACGTGCAAGAGGCCAACGCAGAGCAGTGGACGCAGATTGCCAGCTTTGTCTCGCGGCTGACTTCGGCCGCCGTTCACCATTCGTCTCGCGACTTTAACGACATTTTCGAGAGCTTGGCAGCCATTCTTATGCACCTCTCACACTCGCTCAGCTACGAGACCCACAACAAACACAGCGTCTTCCAGTCCAAGGTCAGGGAAGAGCCAAACAAGTCGTCCTCGGAGCGCAAGGAGGGTGCTTCAAACACTTCGTCGAGTGTCGAGCAGAAGGAGTAGTAATTTGGCGACAAGATTTGTGTGTGTGCGTGTGTGAGTGCGGTTTGATTTGTTTTCGTTTTTTTGCTGATGTTTGAATGTGAGATTTGAAAAAACGGGGCCAATTGGTTTGGCATCTCGTGTGTTTGTGTTCTGGATTTGATGTTATTTCGGTGATGGATGATTTTGCTTTGAGGCTTTGAATTCACGGCGTATGTGCTTTGTTTTACGCGTTGTGTGCATGTGTGTGTGTGTGTATGAGTTGTCAAAACCGATGTGGATTTGAAGTAAACAATGCTCACACCGTCAACGAAGTGCTTGCTGAGCTGAGAAAGTGGTTGTCGGATTGCTTTGCAAATTCTGTACCGCTCAATCACCATTGACAAACGCTGCGCGTCGAATTGAAAATCTAGATCACTTTTTTTTTTTTTTTTTTTCCATCGTCTTTCACACGAACTGTGAGCCAAACACAAGTAGCAAAATCAACTCCACTGCTCTCTGTCGATTGTCTCGGCTTAATTTGCAGTCGTGGCAACAAGTCGGCAGAATGAGCAGATGAACGGCAATGGGGGAAGGAAGGAAGGTGTGCGTGCTGAGGCGGAACCTCAGAACTGCAGCATTGCGGCATTGCACGCTGGCTGTCTCGCCCCGCAGCCCCGCTCCCCTCACCGCCATGCGCTTCTGATGAGCCCCGTCTCTGTCACAGCGAGCTGCTCAAAGAGCGAGGGCGGAACTGCGGGAGGGGGGGGGGTGACCCCTGGCTGCGATTGGCCCGTGAATGGGCAATGGAACAGCCACGCAAAATACTCACCCATGCTGTGTCGCCGCCGCCGACTTCCGCCCCTCGCTCGAGGGAACAGTCTATGAATGATAGCAGTGGACGCTCTTGGAAGGGGGTGTGCGCGCGTTGGAGGGGAAGGACGAGGCAGGCAAGACACGGCGGGCGGGCCATCACACTCGCTGTCTGTCTCTGTCGCTCCATTGTTGGACGAATGCTTGAACCCGTCCACCCACAAACATGCCTCTGACGAGCAACAATGCGATGTGGCGATTGATTGTTGCTCAAAGCTTTGACGCCGGGAGCTCACTTTGAACCGTGAATGTCTCTGATTCAGAATGACAACCCAAGGATTCGCTT